ACACGAAGTGAAGATTACAATAATAGCGGAATATCTAACGGAACTATTGCAATTCCACGTTCACCATCACCGAAAGATGTCAATAAAATGAAAAATGCAAGAAACATACAAGAAGAAACTTGTATTAGTAATAGAGCAATTAAAATGCAGGCTATCGAAACTCAAAATAAAAATCTAGTCATGAGTCAAGGAAATAAAAAAATGGAACTTATCTTTGTTCCTCATAATTTCGAGGAATCTCAGGCGCCAATGTCACGATTATATAAATATATTAACAAAAAGAAATGTACCAAAAAACATAAATTATCATGTAGAGAAATAAAATACGCTTGTAAAATAACAGGTATATTTAACAAGAATATGATTTCAATATATAACTTTCGAAATAAATAAAAAAATAATTATGTTTAGGTCTAACAATTTATATTTCAGTAATTGATATAAACATGAATATTTTTTATTAAAATTTGATAAAAAGATCAAAATATATTTTTTCTTAAAAAAGTTTAAAAAAAACTTAGTTTTAAATGCTTTTTCTTAAAATATACTGTCTTCTTAATTATTAAACAAGATTATTAATTTAATTCTATATATCACATATGTTTTAGACAAATTTGTAAAGAAGCAACTACGACGACTTATGAATAGTGATTGGAAAGATTCTATATATGATTCCATACATGACGATATAAAAGTAAAATTGGAAAATACTTGCGGACCTCGTATCATAGCCAAGTTAGTATGCCATGTTGTGATTTTTAAATATGTAAAAATGTCAGATTAAGTTACATATATTAAAGGTATTATTTCATTATATTAATGGAGCAGTATATAGCAAACAAGTTAGTTCCCCAATAATTCAACATTTATCTTGTTTAATTACAGAAACATTAAAAAACATTGATTAAAATGAAGCAATGTATATTATAAAGTTAGAAGTTTACATATTAAATGAATAAAAAGAGGGAAATAATATTTCTTTTGCGTCCATTTTAGATGCATAGTGGAGTTTATAATAGACGAAGTCGATCATACAGAAGCTTTGGATAAATCATTTACTCCCCCAGCACCATTGATGACGAAATTTGAACAGAAGATCATAACGTTATTATTCGATTTGGAAGCATCGAAACCAATGGTGATTTATTTCGTACAAGCCGCCATCGAATTTCATATGTTTAGACTCGATAGTGATGTGAAGGTATATTTTATTTGTCTATAATAGAATGTAACAATTTAAATCACGTTGTTATGATAACAATACTTTTCAGTTTTAAATTACTAACACTTTTTACGTATGTAGGATCCGATTGATTCGCTCACACGGATATATGTCGTTCTGTCACGCATTCAGAAGGATAGAGAAAAAATACGCATGATGTGTTGCAGTGCTCTCTATTGCATGAATCTTAAATCAATAGCTGTTTTAAATACAATATTAATGTGTTGGTCTGAAGTTCTTCCGAATGCTGAGATAAACAAAGGTATCGTATACATTACAATGCAAGAGAATCTAGTTTGTCAAGAAAAACAATGATAAATTCGATACATCACAGTAATGAATGACACAGTGATGAATGACTTCAGCTTTAATCATTGAAATTGTGCACAAAATTGCATCGTTTATGTTCATAAATGTATATTGTTTAATTTTTCCAGAAATATTATCAAAATGCATAGCCTTTCTTATCAGCTCACTACATATTAGTACCGACAAGGACCGAATATTAAAGAAATTAAAGCATTTAAAATCATTGGTATCGAGATGTCATAACTATACTCGTGAAACAATAAATGATATTGTTAAGGAACTTATGACTGCTCTTAAAGGTAAACATATTTTCCACATCACGTTTTTTTTCTATTATATTAATTAATTGCAAATTATATTTGATTTAGCTAAACGAATCGAGGGTTTGGATACAGCCATTATACTTGTTGCAAAGCGAGAAAAGGCACAATGGACATATAAAAATATTATTCAATCTGTTCTATTACCAATGATTATAAACAATCAACATCCCTGCATATATAGCGCATTTTCTTTACTCGGTAAGTTAATTTTTTTAATATTGTATTATATTTATGATGAAGGAATACTAATGTATCCGGCATTATATTATGTACTTACAGGAAGGCTTTTGCGCGCATTCCCATTACAAGATAAAGATCAAATTGTACATGACATCTCTGAACAGCTCTGCGTCCTCATTCAATCTGGCCAAGGTAGTACATTCATTTTGTGTGTATGAAAAACTAATTTTCAACACACCAATAGCATATATTTTTATACACTATACATATATAATCTGATTAATTTTTAAACAGGTTCACACGATCAACAAGAAGGCATAATATCTGCGTTGCTCAGCCTTTCCAGACAAAAATTTGACGTTATATCGTGGCCTGTAATTAAATGGACGCCGAGTAAATCTTTAAGACCGATTGTCGACACACAATTGCAGACGTTCTTACATACACGTACTTCAAAATTTTGGAAAGAATATTTACAGAAAAAAAAAATTAAACTTATCCAAAGTAAAACGTGAAACATTGATGAAATTAAGTAAGTGTAATTTGTCACTTAATCTTTGTGTAATCAACAACTCAATGCTAACAACTCACATAATTTTTAATTAATTAAGCAGAATTACAATAAGAAATGTGTTGATTACGAACATAACGTTTAATATTTAAAATTTGAAATACATCCAATTATTGTTTGGTTTTAGCGAAGTTATAATACTTATAATTTATATTTGATGATATAACATGTGGTTTTATTTCGCTGTTGTCACCTTGCTTGCCATGTTTATCTAATATAATTATTTAATTTTTCTATTAATTTGCAAAAATTAGTGTATATATTTATTTTTTAAATGTGAATTAATTTTTGCTCTTAAATTCTGTACAGTTCTGCTTGTTGTTAAAAAACTGTTTTTTAGTTCTAGTATTTATAGAAAAAAATTACATTTTGATTATAAAATATTAAAATGTTTTCTTTTCATTTAGAACAAATTGATATTTCCTCTGGTAAAAATATATAAATATTATAAAATTACGCCTTTTATATCGCTTATTACTTTTCGCGTAATTCCTCTGTTCTCAAAATATCTAAAAAATAATTACTCTCTGATTTTCATTTAAAGATTCGAAAGATTTAAAAATAATACATCTATATATTGTGTGGCCAAGCTAAATAATAATTTAAAGAGATGAATAAAAATATAATTGAAATCAATAAGGTCATGATAAAGAATTATAAATAATTATTTTGTAGGTGCCAACATCTACTGTTGGATTTGACCAAAATTTAATATATTTTATATTCCTTAAATACAATGTTATCCAGTGAAATAAAATGAGATATTTGTATGATTATAATACTTCGATCTATTTCATGAGCAACACATTGAATTAAACTGCATTTCTCAAATAGCATTGTAGAACAAACGTTAACAGTAAATCGTTTCAATTGATATTATTTTACTTTGTAATATTATTCGAAGTATATATCACAAGTGTCGCTGGATGTGTATATATATATTAGAATATCAATAAAAAAATAAGATATAATAAAATGAATAAATCGCGTCAAACATCGATCACGCGGCTTAAAAATTTCCAAACAAGAGAGATTTTATAGTTTTTATTTTAATATAATAATGATAAAAGTAATTATAGTAGCAATAATAATATATAATAATAATAATAATAATAGATAATATTTAACATATCGTAAGTTTTCATTCACAGAGCACGCTAAGTTAGTACATGTACAAGATTTCTTTACAAAAATAATAACAATGTTTTGATGCAACATTGCTGAGCGATAATATCTCTCTTTTTACCTTTAAAATGTTTAGATTAATTCTTAGCCGTTTCCAAATTAACTGAATCTTTGGTATGTTGATGTCGGATAGCATATTATAGAGGTTTGGTATATCAGATGAGAGTATCCACTATTATCCACCGTCATAAAATACCCGCAAGAATGAGCATAAGGATTGTCATTTCTAAGAACCAGTCATCGGAGAGTGACGCGGAATAAAGATTTGAGAATTCACAAATTTCGAATAAGATGATATTATCTAACAGAATAAAAAATTAATGGCCGTAAGCATCAGTTAATATTATATATTGCTTTGATATTAACTAATCGTTATAACTAAATTGATCAATGAACGATATCACACAATACCATTGCAAATTGAGAATGAGGTTTCGTAAAATATTGTTTATTCTTTATTTTAATTTTTAGCAATTTCACGGAGTTGTGCACCAAAATCTTAACTATGATAGTATATGAAAATCGACAAGAAATAAAATTTGGGACAATAGAGAAAATATATGTTACATATAATCGTATTTTATGATATATTGAATCGAAAATAATCAAATTTTTGAAATTAAAAATTCGCTTTTATAGAAATCATGGAATATTAATTAGTAATTTTGAGTAAACTAATTTTGATTAGCGTATATATCTTTCGTTTGACTACAAGAAACTGCATGACATCGTTTAATAGTGTTATTTCATACATCTAAAATTACAATTAACTCAACATGATATAATTTAAATAATGCTATTTACTTCAACTATATAGTAAGAGATAATTATCGATGATGCGCGAAGGAAACCGCATTTATATCATGTTTTTGGATGACATTTTGGTGTAGTTATTTTATATTTGTGTGTATTCGCACGGAATACAATACGCGACGTTATCTGATGTAATAAAATGTCATCTGTGTGATACATTAATTGTATAAATTATTACCCTCTCAAAGCTGGTTATCATAGTGCTTCATTTATCATCTTCGACGACGACAGTTTACAAGATACACATCGTAATAAGGCTCTCGTTTGATTGGCTTGGATTCAGCCGAGTCAGGGAAAAGCGTTAGATTAGTGGAAATACTAGTTAATCATCGAATGACATGAAAAAGAAAGGTCTTAAGTTCATCAAGATCTCCACATAGATTATCTTTAATTACAATGTCATACGCTAATGTTCCACCAATAATTTTGTTGTGTGGATAAACATTTGTTTATAGAATATGGAACAATTAATATTATCTTTGATTTGGAAAAAAAAGAAAACATATGTTTAAAATATAGGACAAATGACAATTTTATTATCTGAAGACACGGTAGTGTCTCAGCGCTAAGCCAAGTTTAGCTATACATGTATGTATACAATGGAAGTACTAATTCCAAGATATCATAGCGAGTACTTTATTAATAAATTCTTTAGAAGTAGCATCTTAAAATTAGAAGCAAAGGCCATTGTTTTTCTTTCATGCCATCCGATAGTTCTGTTTTAAATACGCATTCTGGATTTGGATGTGACATAGTGCACACAATCACACATTCTATTCTCAACACTCGTTTCGATACTGTGTATTTCATACATTCCTTTTCACAAACAAGTCCTTATTAAATAGTTTTATTGAAATAATAAGAATAATTTCTAATAGTAAACAAATAGTCATAATTAATTACATTAGTTAATAATAATAACAATAATAATAATAGTATACGTATTATTATTATTATTATATATTACGTAATATACATAGTAATAATAAATTAGGAACCACGTACAATATGAAATATGGGAAATTAAATTAGAATACATTTTGTTAATGAGGACTATTTATAAATAATAAAAATACCATCTGTTGTATATTCGCTTTTATAAATGTTTAGGCCACGCTTTCGATTCTTACATTAAGTTTTCTTTTCTCTTTCTCTTTAGCTCTATCTTTTTGTAGTAAGCAGAAATCTTGAGTAGTTTGAATAGAGAAAGTCATTTGTTGTCATAACTATTAACGTGTTTCAAAGCGACGAGCGACGGGTGAATGATTAATATGAAAAAGATGAAACAAAACAATGTTTGGAAGCTTTCCTTTTTCATATACTCGAGAGTATCTACAAATATACAAATTACTATCGAATCGTCGTTTAATGTCTTCAGTACCTGTCACTCCGTTAAGTATGTTCTTTTAACAAATTATATAATTATAAAAATATGCATTTCGGTTTTTTTTTTAAGCGCAGTGCATCATGGTACGATGAGGTATCAGGCTGATGGAACGTAGTAATACGATGTGGCGAAAACGTTGCTTTTTATAATTAATATAGCTTACGACCCGAGATATATTTAACGTAAAATAATTTACTATTTACAAGAAACTGAGACAAAATGACAAGAAGGCCCAACTTTCTGTATGCGATGAAATATCTCCAAAGATACATATCAATTCCACTCTATTGCATTGTTAACATTTTTAATGCTGCGTAAACCAACAATCTGAAAGTTGGAAAGATTTGAGTAGAGAAATGAAATGTAAAAAAAATTATAAATCTGGTAGCAATTGTGCATGTAATTGAAGACTGAGCCTTTTATTTAAATAAATAAATAACGAAACAAGAGAGAATGATGCATGATCAATATAATTTAATATTAAACATAGCAGTTTTCTTGATTTTATGAAATAATTTAACAATGCTGGCATCTTACTTTTTATTTTACGTACGAGATGAATATTAATGAGAAATGATATTCGAAATTAATATCTGAAATTATATATGTGCGTATATCATTCAATATCGAGATAAATAGGACGAAAAGTATTAGCAATTCTTTGAATTTTATATTCAACTCTCATCTATGCAAACAGATGAAGTTATTTAGTCGCAGTTTTAGAAATTAGCAAATTATGATCTGCGCAAAGTCATTGAATTTATTATTCTATCGTATTTGTTGCTTTATCTTGTAATAATAGCTAATAGCGCTTTTAATTCCGTTTTTTTTTTATTTTTATCGCTTGTAGTTGCAGATATGGAAACGAAAATTAATTCACTATAAGTACGTCATTTTTGTGTGCCTAAGATTTGGTAAACGATATTTCGCGTTACAGGAGCAAAACGTCTTGAGAAAATATTTGTCAATATATAACAGTACAACGCCGGATGGCGATCTGACGTCAATAGACTTTCTAACCGATTAGTAATAAATAGCATCTCTATTATTAGCGGCAAAATGTATTTCACATGTGCTTAGGGAACTATTGCTTTCTGGTAAGACATCGGATTTAATCTAGATTTAAATCTTAGATATTTCTACGTAAGACACATATGTTCATTAACCCTTTGATACTAATAGTACGTTCCATCGCGTTCACGAACATTCTTTGGAAGAGCCTAGTGAAAGTATAATGTAAGTTACTAGATCTAATCGCAACGTATTAGACCTCTGCGAGAATATAAGCTATTGTAGAACGTATTTATATTTATATATTATCATATGTATCCGGAGACATATCAGATTAAAGTCTTTTACGAATAACAAAGTTAGGATAAAGTACAAGTAGCATACGTACCAAGGATCAAAGGCTTTACCTTGTCTATTATCGGCGCTTTACAGCTATTGATTTTTCAATGTTTTACAAGATTTTGTCACTAGCGTATATCAGCGTCCTGCGCTCGTAACACGATTAGTAATTGGACGACGCTCATCGCTAATTTTAATGAGAGAAATACA